AACAGAACAGCACCTAACACTGTTATTGTGAGGTAGACACTATAAGCCATTAAACTATCTTAAAAGTTAGGCCAGGCTATACAAGCAAGCGAGCAATCAAAAGCTCTTGCCCTGCTCAACTGTGACTTATAATTCGTTTCTTACCAGCTGTGGGGCTCCCGAAGCCCCCAAGCATCAAATATCCATCCACATTGAGCTTTACATATAGGATGTGCCTATGTTTCTAACACCCCTCGAAACCAGGTGATCATCTGCATGGAGTATGTGAAGGGACAGCTAGGGGGTCAGAGATTGTAGAGTTCCAGACTTGGTGAGAGAAGCATGATGCACACACACATTCTGGAACTTAGAATTTTCCTTCTGGGCTGACTCTGTATCTCTGTTAACAACGTGGTAAATTTTTTATATCAATCATTTTTACAAGAAAGCCAACATCACACCCTAGCACAGCAGTCCAAGACAAGAGTAAACAATCTGAGAAGACTGAATAAATAAGAAAATCCAAAGAACTTCCAAGGAAAAGGATGTCTTTAATTTATGGAATCCCAAGTCAGCTAGGGTCAAGTGTAAGTGTGCATAACTAACACATGGATAATCATGGAAGCTCAAGATAAAAGGCCAGACCTCTCTCAACCAAATGATGTCTAGACAGGCCGCCAAAGATTGGCCTGGTAGCCCAGTCTCCTCCCAGTTCACTGCTCTGCCAGAGAGGCCCTTCTCACCCATCTGAGATGAAGGCCAGAGCTCCTGCTATTGAGGCAAAACTGCAACATCAAGAAGGAAGAAGAGTTAAGGGGAAAGGGACACATGGCATTCGTCACCAGCTCTGGAGGTTGACCAGAAACTACATGTAACAACTTGTTCCCACATCCTTCTCATACATCACACTATTTGTGCTGAACCAAAAAGAACATAATGTAACGTTTCCCCGAAGTCCTTGTGCCAAATAGAAGTAAGGGTTCTCTTCTCATAGAGAGAGAGAGGAGAGACAGCTCTGTATAGTTTTGGGTGGTCCTGCATGTGCAGTGGGTCAATACCAACATCCTCTAGGGTAGGACGTTATGTCTAGGGAAACGTGAACCTCTCCCCCCCCCCAGATATTTCAGTGACATTCCTATAACATTTAAACTTCTTTGTATGGAATTTAGTTTCGAGAATATGCCTTTCAACCTACCCATCTTGCTGATCTCAATATGGGATAAGTGTGAAACAAAATTTACCCTTCCAGCAAAATGCAAGACCGTTTTACTGAGTCAGCACTATTTTCTACGGTATGACAGGAAAATACCCTCTTTGCTCTCATACAGACCAAGTGAACAAAAGTTCCATGAGACAGAAAAGTAGCTTAAGAGAGGTGAGACTCCCTTTCTTGCATCATTTTTCATGTACACTCAGGTACATAATGCTATCTTTGTGCTGCAGATTAGACGAGATTTAACATGGGACATGAGAGTAGGGAAGGACTATGAATACAGATCTAATGGGAAGGGGAAGGGGAGGCAAAGAAGAGGGAATTGGAGGAAGAAAGATCAAACATTGCATGTTTTCTCTCATGAAGAATCCAGATTTAAGATACATGTGTGCATGCGCACATATGAGAAAGCAAAAGGAGGGAGGAGAAGGAGGAGAGGACAACGGGGGTAGGGGGCAAAAATCAGACAAGGTACAGTGATTTACATGCATAAAACTGTCATATTAAGGGCCAGTGAGATGGCTTATGGCAGGTAAAATGCTTGTTGTGCAAGCCTGATAACCTGAGTTATTATACTTAGAGGTAAAAGAAGAAAACTGACTCACAGGTAGTCCTCTAACCTCCACACATGTGCCATGGTATGTGCATAACTCCCTCTGTACACGTTACACATAATATATAATATTAATAAAACTTAAATGTCATAATGAAACCCATTCCTTTGTATGCTAACAAACATTATATGTATATAAAGGATTTTGTCCCCCTAAAAGTTTATTTGTATTTCATTTATAATCTGACATCCCCAAAATTAACTTTTAACCTAACAACCCCAGGACTAACTTTGTTGGTTATCTCAGCTGGCATAAACCATCACATAAACAATCAAAGGGTTCAGATCTGACCATTGATGCACACTGCCCAAACACACACACACACACACACACACACACACACACACACACACACACCACACATACACTGTTAATGCCTACACAAGAAAAAACAAAGACTACAATAAAGGAGAAGTCTTATTTATTCACTCAACAAAATTGCATACAGCTACACATGGCAGGGTGCTGCTCCAAAGAAGAAAACTGAATAATTTAATGCCCACCTGAAGTGAAATCATGAACACACAATCAACTACAGAACACACAGCGGTAGACACGAACATGAAAGTATCGTGGTAGTGTAGAGGAGGATGCAACCCAAGGGGTGTGGAGGCAGGCGAGGCTTCCTAGAAGAGGTGAGACCTAATCTGAAAGTTGACAGAAGAAAAAACTAGCAAATTGTAATGAAAAGCACAGTCTAAATCAGAAGAGGGAAATGCAGCTCCTGGGGGCCCTACAAGCAGTTGGGTGTTTCTAGAACATAAAATGTGATAGAATAATGAAAGGGAAAAAGTTACAAATGGAAAAATACATTATAACTGAAGATGTCAGATTAATGTTCATATTAAAAACAACCCCAAATTACTATTAATAAATAGTTCATCCCATCTCAAAGGCTCATGTTTTATATCATTAATATCAATATTCCTATTATCTTTAATGTAAGCTCTATAAAATACTTTGGGAACTCAGATGTGATATACTTCTCACAGATACTCTATGAGACATTACTTGAAAATACCTGCAGAAAATAGCCATTTTATATTTTGAACACTGCAGAATACTATTGTTATTTGATTCTTTCTTTTTGATGCAGAGTATAGAACCTGGGGCAGAACTACATCTCTGGCCCTGTTTTCCAAACTATACATTAGAATATCAAATTTTATTCCAGTAACAAAACCATAAAATGGATATTATTTAACTACAGAAGGAAAAGACCTTAAATGGTATATAAAGTAAAAATGTAAAACTCTAAAGCCACATTATTCAAACACTGGTGGGCTTGTATATTTATTAATTACCTGGTATTTAGTCCAGGCCTGCCTTGAATTCACAATCCCCCTGCCTCACAGCCTCTCCTGTACTGGAATTCCAGGCATGTGCTACCACAACTGGTTTATGGTGTCTTTAATCTCAGTCAGTACAATTATTCTCTCCAGTGCCAAGATCATTTCTGTCTATATCCAGTGGGTGTTTCTGTTTTTATTGTCCTTTCCTCTACTGGCCTTGGACTTTGTTTTGAGAATCATTAGTAGACTGATAAAGAGGATCACACTGTTCCCTGGATTTTTCTACCTCACATATCAATATGTCTTAATTATCTATTTCTCTACCTCCTCCCTTTATTCAACTCAATGAGTATGAGTGAGTTTCTGCATGGAGGAAAAATCAGCACTGGGTTTACTTTCTCACTTCAGTGTGTTTTTTGGTTTTGGTAAAAATTATTTTACTGAGCTGTGATTTAAATGAGCAAACATTATCCAGAGTAATTTGTATTTTAAAGGATTTTTGATTAGGCTTATTGTCCAAAATTAGAGCACATAAAAGCACAAACTGATGCCGGGCGTTGGTGGCGCACGCCTTTAATCCCAGCACTCAGGAGTCAGAGGCAGGCAGATATCGGTGAGTTCAAGGCCAGCCTGGTCTCCAGAGCGAGTGCCAGGATAGGCTCCAAAGCTACACAGAGAAACCGTGTCTCGAAAAAAAAAAAAAAAATCACAAACTGTAGTTTCCAAAGGTACCAATTTGCCACACACTGGTGAAGGCAAGTCCCTACATGGTGCACCAGAGTGGTCCTACTCTTCTGACATTCATGCATCTAGGTCTTCTAGTTATAGTTTTCCTTGTTGCCAGATTCAGAAAAGAAATTCACTAAAGAGGTGTAAAGTATATAAGGTTGAGAGACATAAAAAGATAACTTTGGGTTGGTAATGCAAGTTAGGATAGAAAGTGAATTAGGTACAACCTTTTGAACTCACCAAGATAGGATAGATATATTTTCTCTGAATTTGTCAGTTGCTAATGGACTAAACATTGTTGATGTACTTATTGCCTGTATATATTGTATATAGTTGTTGTACTTATTGCATATAGTTTTTCTTACATTAGTTATAACCTTTTATGTTATACAAAAAAGGGAAAATGTGGTGATAATCTTGTTCGTACTCTAACAAATATCTTAATGCAGAGTTTTTATTTTTAGCCTCTAGGCAGTGTTTGCAGGAGTTACAGTAGTATGTGCAACTATGAACTTTGTGAGGGTCCCAGCCCATTCCCATGGAGTCAAGATGATTTCTGCACATTGCACACACTGTAGTCTACCATATGCTTCTGGGACTACTGAAATGCCTGGCACACTGCAGACAGTTAGAAACTGTGCTTATTACATAAATCTATATGCACAAGGATGAATGAGCCATTGAATGAATACATAATTCTAAGACTAAACCAAAAAATTACACTAAGTGGTCTGTGTGTCCTAAAAGGGTGAGGAATGGAGAAATAAGAAAAAGCATTTTCATGAAGTTTGCTAAATAAGTAACAGAAATGTAAATACAGAATTATGTGTGCAGTCAGCATTTTTTGGGACTGAGGGCTTCTGATGGAAACAAGTGGGAGGGAGTTAAAGATGACATAGGTCTTCTATTGCAGTTTCTCTCTCTCTCTCTCTCTTTTTTTTTTGGTTTTGAAGTTATTTTTAGTTAAAGAAAAAAAAGACTTTCCAAGGGTGACAAAGTGAACTAAAGGTCAGAAGGAAACTGGGTGTGGGCTTATCATAAGCTCTTACTCCAAAGCTTGAAAATGAGAACCGAGCTTTCCTAGGAACTGACTGGATCACCCGAGACACTCCTTGTTGGGGTGGACAGAGATACTCTTGATCAATGGCATGTTCTACATGGGTTCTCAGGCAACCACCATGTGCCTACTGACATGACTATCACTATTACTCTTGGGGGACCTCAAATTAAGGAATGACACAGGAAGCTGAGATAGTGGCTTATACAGTTGGATTCTGAATCACAATCAGGAAATAGTCTTTATCTGGTGCAATCATAATTTCATTTTTTTTTGGAGCGAATTTGAAGGAAGTTTAGGTCATTCTGGGGGTGAATTTCACGCACAGTGCTCCGTGCCTTCAAGATGAAGTTGTGCATGAGGTTGGCATACTGTGTAGTAGTGGGGTTGTCTATGGTGCTCTTGATGGGAATGCCTTCTGTGTTCACCACGATGATTCCTTGCACTGCTTTCTGGCTCTGAAGTCTCTTGAGTGTTTCCTCCACCTCTACCATGTCAGAACGATCCAGCAGCTCCAAGTCGCTGATGCTCAGCGAGTTCCCCGCCTTTCTCTATTGCAGTTGCTCTTAAATGGCTCTTGAAAATGAAGAGAAGGAACTAAAGATATCCCAATACGTAAATATTTTAGTGGTTACTACTGAAGTCTGTACTACCAACCTGTAAGATGGTAAGTTGTAGCCTGGTTGTTTAAAGGGATTATAACAAGTCCTAAGATACCAAAAAGCATAGCTTTAAAAAAATTCTATTTGTTCATAATAAACAAGTTTTAGAAGTTCCTCCCAGGAAAAATTTTAATATATAGGAAGGGATTTATACAAACAGCAGCCTTGCTTATATTAGAAGGCAGGAGCTCCCTTGGGCATGCCTGCTTTTTGAAATGCTGTTTGCAGTGCATAATGATCTCATTTAAATTCTTTTTTAGACTTTAAAGTTTGTTCTTTTTGTATTTCATATTTCCTGAAGCAGAGCTGGGGTCACCAGTGTGAGGAGTGATGCACCGTGAGTAGACATGGAGTGGGGTTGTGAGAACCCCAGTCCTGTGTGCCAGGCACTGAAGATGCATGCTAACAGCATGCCCACCTGCTCTAAGTTTCTCCTGGTACACTGTTCTGACTCAAATAGAACGTGCAACAAACCAAAATTAACTGGAGCTCCACCCACATACAAGTTCCACCTGAAGGTTCCTCAGTAAAACAATGGGAAGAAACCATCCTGTTGATGCCAAGAGCTCTTCAACAGCCCCTAAGCAGCTCAGACAATGGAGCCAGGGGAGCAGCTGTGGCTACTTGCACACAGGCAGGACTTGCTCTCTTCTGGCAAGAGGAAATAAAACCATTGGCACCTGACACTGAAGCCTAACCGAAGGGTGAATGAGCTAACTAGCAGCTGTAGTTGGAGTGGTAGGATTGTCTGTCTTCCAACAAGCAAAGCAAAGAAAGCTGCAGACCTGTCAGATGTAAAGAAGCTACAGATCTGTCATATCCTTTCCTTATAGACAACCTTCAGGATTCGCATCCCAACATCAAGCTAAGGTTTGAGCACTGTGCTTCTGACATAAATGTTCCTAAACTGGAGTGGATGTGTCCAAGAATAAAATATATGATGGAAGGATTTTTGTATGTTATTGTATTTTCCCACTTACAATATATTTGTTGCACACTTTTATATAAATGTGTACTATGCCTACCATGCCAGAGATGAAACACTGGTGATACAGAAAGCAGCACAAAGAACCTGCCCTCACAAAATTTATATTCTAACTAAATGTTTATTAGCACTTTTTGTTGGTCATGTTTTTGAGACAGGTCTCAATGTGTAGCTCTGGCTGACTACATAGATCAGGCTGGACTTGAACTTATGACAATTTTTTCTGCCTCTGCTTAAATTTCAGGGGGTTTTCTACCACAATGTATTTTTCTCCACTCCCCTTCCACCTTTCCTCCTGCCCCCCACGTTCCCAATTTACTCAGGAGATCATGTCCCTTCCTTTTTTCCCTTCTTATGCAGATCCATGTATAGGGTCCCTTAGGGTCCCTCTTTGTTACCTAGGTTCTCTGGGCTTGAGGACTGTAGGCTGGTTGTCCTTTCCTGTATGTCTAATATCCACTTATAAGTGAGTACATATTATATTTGTCTTTCTGGGTTATCTCGGGATTTTTTTCTTTCTTTTTTTTCCCGAGATTTTTTTTTTATTAGTTCAAATTAGAAACAAGGCTGCTTCACATGTCAATCCCCTCTCCCTCTCCCTCCCCTTCCCCCAACTCCCCACCAACTCCCCCCCCCATCTCATCCCCCCTCTGCTCCCCAGGGAGGTTAAGGCCCTCCACAGGGGTTCCCAAAGTCTGACATATCATCCTGGTCAGGGCCTAGGCCCAGGATGTTTCTTTCTAGTTCCGTCCATTTGCCTGCAAATTTCAAGATGTTACTGCTTTTTACCTCTGAGTAGTACTTCGTTGTGTAAATGTACCACATTTTCTTTATCCATTCTTCCATTGTGGGGCATCTAGGTTGTTTCTAGTTTCTGGCTATTATGAATAATGCTGCTATGAACATAGTTGTGCAAATGTCCTTGTGGTGAGTGTTCATCCTTTAGGTATATGCCCAAAAGTGGCATTGTTGAGTCTTCAGGTAGATTGATTCCCAATTTTCTGAAAAACTGCCATATTGATTTCCAAAGTGGCTATACAAGTTTGCACTCACAACAGCAGTGGCCTCCTCCACTCTTAGAGATTGTGAAGGCAGAGTCTCACTAAACCTAGGACCTGAAAGCTTGGGAGCCTTGGCCTGCCTTTCCAGCAGTGGGATTACAAGGACTGGCTGTGGTGCCACTTTGTATATGGGTGCTGGGGACCCAAAACCAGGGCCTTGTGTTTACACAGCAAGCAGTTCACCAACTGAGACATCTCCCCCGGCTCCTTATGAAGTATATTATGTGATTATAGAGGAAGGAAGGAAGGAAGGAAGGAAGGAAGGAAGGAAGGAAGGAAACCAAAATAGAAGCGAGCCAAGTGAGTACAATGGGGAAAAGACAAACTTTTCACTGTTTTCTCGTGTGCAGAACCTGGATTTCATATGTATTATGTATGTGTGTGGTGTGTGTGTGTGTGTGTGTGTGTGTGTGTGTGTGTGTGTGTGTGTGTGTTGGCATGACACAGGAAAGCAGCAGATGTGAGACTATCTGAAATGAAGAAGCCCCATAGGAGTCAGGGTGGGAACCAGATGAGCATGAACGATGCCTTACATATGCACAGGACAGTCCATCAAAGAATCCATTTACCCACTACTTTTCAAAAGCAAACAACAAAAATAAGTCTCATTTAAAGGTTAAAAAAAACAATAACATAATGCTATTTTAAGTTACTTCAACTGTTTATATAGTGTTCCAATTTTCTTCATAATTCTTCCTAGATGTTAATTGTTATGTGTAACCTGTATAATTAAAAGGCAATGTCTAGAAACTAACTTTGGAGCTACATCTGTGATATGTTTATATATTTAAAGTATGTTTCCTTCAACTTTCCTCCAAGGCTCAGTGTCTCCGGTTTTTCACATGAGTCCTCATGTTTTTCAATCCTGCCTTGTTGAGTAACATATCTGAAGTCAAAACAAAATCATTCTTACCCCCTACAATAGAAATGCATTTTAAAAATCAGGCAGGGCGTGGGAGGTGCTGGAGAGATGGCTCAATTGGTAGAGGCACTTGCTACCAAGTCTTAGTAACCTGAGTTCAATGCCCAGGACCCACATAATGGAAGGAGAGAACTAATTCCCACAAGTTGTTCTCTGACCATGGCACAACACAAAGGGATATACCCCCTGGGCAATATAATAACCAAATTTATAAAAGGATGTAAAAATCAGACCTCGATTTTAACAGATTTTCTGTCCCAGAACATACACTACCTGCTGTTTTAACTGTTTTCCCTTGGTTCCCACTTTGTCTCTCATGAATACTGTTGGAATGTAGACATTTTCACTCTATTACTGGCTGCCTGGTATCACTCACATCTATTTCTTAACTGAATTTCTTACAGCTGTATCCTAACTGGTTTATCTACTTCCAACATAACCTCAGAGTCTCAGCAAGTCAACCAGAGAAGCAGAACAGTTTAATCTCTATTTAAAAATAAAAATTGGAGGCAAGGTATTGGTAGCAATCTACATTGCCCAGGCTGGCCTCAAACTCATGAGCTCTGGCCTCAGGCTTCCCAGTGTGAGAATCAAAGGTACCCAACACCACATCTGGCTTGACCAGTAACTTTTTAAAAATGTATATCTGATCCAGCCAGCCTCTTACTTAAACCATTCCTGATTTTAGATAAAGTATAATAACTCCTACATCCAGCCAAGAGTGAGGGGAAAATGTATCTTCCCACTGAAACAATAGTAAAAACTGACAGAGAGAAATAAGGCCTTCGGGATATGGCACATCAGACAACTAGGGATTTACCCCAGTTGACTAGCAAAAATTTCTTGCTGTGGTGCAGACACAAGAAACTATACAATGTTCAACAGACATGAGAGGAGAACTAAGAACAGAGGGAAAGCACAGAAACTAGAGCCTATGTGACAGAGCAAGACAGTGAAGAGGCTCCTCCATCTTGTATTCTTGCTGAGGCCATTTAAGGTTTAACTAGACTTTGATCTCCTTGATGGAGAATCCCATAGAAAATTACCAACCGTATTCTAGGAACTCAAGGTCAAGATGCCCCAGTTAAGTTATCTTAGTTTCTGTGAAATTGTCAGCTTGTACAGAACCTCCTCCAGTTAACCAGTTATTTTAGCTTCTGTTAAACTGCTTTTTTCTGTGAACCTCTCCACCCTCCCCTGCGGGCACTCATGGCTACACCTGAGTCCTCAAATACTGGAATACAGTCCTAGCCAGCTGGAATAAGGACTTTCAGTTGGCTATAAATTGTATCTATCACTGATTGTAATGGAATCATTTTGAGTTTCTATTTAATTTGGTGTTCACTGTTGGCTTGCTGTGTATTGCCTTTATTATCTTTAAGTATGTTCCTGTTATCCTTGATCTCTCCAAGACCTTTATCATGAAGGGGTGTTGGATTTTGTCAAAGGCTTTTTCAGCATCTAGTGAGATGATCGTGTGGTTTTTCTTTTTCAGTTTGTTTATATGGTGGATTACATTGACAGATTTCCGTATGTTGAACCATCCCTGCATGTCTGGGATGAAGCCTACTTGATCATGGTGGATGATTTTTTGATTCATTCTTGGATTTGGTTTGCCAGTATTTTTTGAGTATTTTTGCATCAATGTTCATGAGGGAGATTGGTCTATAATTCTCTTTCTTTATTGCATTTCTGCTTGGTTTGTGTATCAGGGTAACTATGGCCTCATAAAAAGAATTTAATAAGAATTTGATAATATTCCTTCTGTTTCTGTTGTGTGGGACAATTGAGTATTGGTATTAGTTCTTTTTTGAAATTCTGATAGAATTCTGAGTTGAAACCATCTGGCCCTGGGCTTTTTTTTTTTTTTTTTTTTTTTTGGTTAGGAGACTTTTAATGACTGTTTCTAATTCCTTAGGGG